ATAGATACATATATGAGTGTATACATATATGTATATCAAATGTATTTCAGAGTAGGCCCAGCGCGGGCCCAGGACCACGACCACGGGTACACATGGCCGGGCAGCGCTCCAGGGGCGCCCTCGTGGTTCCCAAAGTGGCTTCGTCGTCGCACAGAGGGCCCACACATTGCAATGATACAACAGTCTACCGCACTTTGTCTATGACACCCCGAGAGCAACACCGAAGATTTTGTCTGAACGGCCTACGAGTGCTTGCGGGCTGCGCCAGGACGGCCCCAGGCCAGCTTCATTGCGCGTTCGATGGCCCAGACGAGCACCCCGATGGGCAACAATCACTGATTTCGCTTGGCTTTTTCATGTTGTTTGTGCCTCTCTTTGCCGACATTCTGACATTTCACGCAGACATCCTGACACTCCGCGACGGCCCACAAGGCCCCCGACACCGCCTCCGGACGGCCCCGTCTTTGCCCTAGGAAGGCACTGGGACGGCCTAGCAGGGTTCCATGCCGCCCCCAGGGGCGCCCAAGGCGGCCCACGAGGCTCTCAGGACGGCCCCAAAATGGCCCGCCAGAGGGGGGCATGAACTGAAATTTCGATTTTGTTCGCCTCCCGAAACTCCCCAAAGACATCAAGAATGCGCCAGGACGGCCCTGGGCAGGCTCCAGAGGGCGCCCGAGGCCCCAGACCAGTGCCCCCGAGAAGTAACAATCATTGATGATTTTGTTTGGTTTTTCATTGTTCGTGGGCTCCCCCCCCACTCCAAGCTTCCGACAATCCACGATGGCCCATGAGGCCTCCAACGCCGTTTCAGGACGAGCCCAGAGGCGCCCGGGAGGAGCAAAAGGACGGCCCAGCAGAGCTCCTGCACGGCCCCAGGGGCGCCCCCCAGACGGCCTCCGAGGCCTGACGACGGCCCCGAGATGACTTTCCACTGGGGGAGCCCACAGGGGCCCCCGGGAAGCCCCAGGAAGGCCCCCAGGCGCTGCCCCCGGGAGAACCCCAAGAGGACCACAGGAGGCCCCCACGACGCCCCTGAGGGCCCCAGGACCGGCCCCAGGCGGCCAACACGATGGCCCCGAAGAGGCCCCCGCGAGGCCCCCCTCGACGCCCAGCTCCTGCCGCTTTTGTTCTGTCATCTTACGCCTCCCCCATCTCACTGCGCAGCCGCACCACCAAGACGACAGGTCCGAATGATTCACTTTGTCTGTGCTGTGCGGGCTTTGCAGCTCCCTTTTGAGGTACCCTGCCTTGAGATCCCAATGTTCATCAGAGGAAAAAGCCACCGCTACCTGATAAGGGGGTCCGGCCTCTCCCCACCCCGAGTTCGTGGCACCCCGCTCAGGGCGCACCCCTTGAGAGTGCCCGGGACGGCGTGCCACCAGCACGGGGGGGAGTGGCCTTTGGGAACAGGTATATGTGGAGTTTTGTTGGTGGTGGCCTTTCTGGTTGTCACGAAATGTCGATCAATAAGGCGGAGTTGATTTATCGTGCGACCCAGCTTTTTTTTCTCGGGTTGCAGAATCGGACAACCCGTGGATTTTGACCAGGTCGTTCTTTTCTTCGTCATGGATCCACTGAGCGAGGGGTTTTCTTCTCTGTACGTGCGCATGCAACAGTATCCCGCAGCTGCTTTGGCTCTAGCAGGGACTCGCGCCTGCGAGCGCGTCCCGCGCTGGGGTCCGCTGCAATAT